TTTAGGGGTTTAGGGTTTAGGGTTCAGGGTTTAGGTACCTATATAGCCCAGAGGGTCCGAGTACCCAAATAGTAAGGTTTTAGGTCCCAAAATCCATACTCTGAATGGTTTTTGGACCTTGAAACCCTACCATTTGGGCACTTGGACCCTTAGGGATAGGAGCCAGACCTTCCAACCCTACTATTTGGGCACTTGGACCCTTAGGGATAGGAACCAGAGGTTCCAAAATTAGGGTTTAGGGTTCAGGGGTTTAGGATTCAGGGAACCCTTCAATTACGGAATATACGTTAAATCATATTAGGGATCCTACTAGGACTTAAGGTATATTCCTTAATTACGGGATTGTGGAAGCTCCGGGGTACCTCTCGGAACGCACATGCGCAGGTCTCTAAATTGGGGTCCGTGTTTAGGCTTGCTTACAGGGATCTATAGGATTTTCTATAGGGTGTTTATAAGTGTACTATAAGGGTTTCTATGGGGGTAGCTTAAAGGGATCTATAAGGGTTCTATAGGGGTAGTTTTGCAAATCAGGGTCCCTCTTAGGGTCTCTAAGGTTCCAGGCTGTTTTGGGGGACCTGAACAAGGCCCCTCGGCTCAAGAACTACCCCAAATAGACAACAGAAGCGCAACCGAAACTTTCCTGCCCAACCTGTATACACACCTAACAAAGGGCCGGGATAATTACGCATAAAAAGCCCTTGCAGTCTGCATGCACTATGGTTAGAGTATGTTGTAGTTGAATACGACGAGGCTCCTATACTCTTAAACCCTCAGACGAGGTCAACTGGGTCTTGCGCTAGATTCACGGCTCGTGCTCTTGTGGGCTCCTGCACTGCTGGCTCAGGCACGCATAGATTACGAGGGTTGGGTTCAACTAAGAACTACTTGGAGGTTCATGGGTAGTTATGAGTGGGGTTATAAGTCCCCTAATATGGGTTATAATGAATATAGTTACCTTACTTATAACCCCGCTTATAACTACCCCTGAACCTCCAAGTAAGGTTCAGGATTTAGAGATTGAGGGTTCAGGGCTTCAGGTTCGGAGTTCAAGGTCGCCGGTTTCGGGCTAAGCGTGTGTTGAGATGGTAGTCCCTTTGGTGCAGCTGCTTCTCCTCTTGCCTTGCTGCTGATGAAACTACTGCCGCCACCATTGCTACCACTACTGCTACGGTATTGCGACCGCTGCCCTTACTGCTGCTGCCAGCGACATCATGTCGACGACGATGACGGCAACGACCACTATAACGACTATTACGACAGGAACGTTTACGACTACTAATAGGGTTCCTAATACCTTTAATGCTACTGCCGCTGCTACTACTACTACTACTACTACTACTACTACTACTACTGCTGCGACTACTACGACGACGACTACGACGACTACTACTACTACTACGACGACTACGACTCCGACTGCGACTACGACTACGAATACGGCTGCGACTACGACCACCACGACGACGACGACTTAGGGTTCAAGCTTTAGGTGGAGTTACTGTGGTGGTCGGTCTGGTGCCTGTCACGATGGCGGTGTTGATAGCGAGATGAGGGCCATCTTAATCGTCGACCTCATGATGTCTATGGCAGAGGTCGTTCGTCATGGTTGCTACTGCTAACCCCCTGCTCACCCCACCTTCCAAGAAGCTATTTTATTATATCTGCTCATTGATCCTGCAACCTCCTTTCTTTTTTGTGCGTGCTGCGTGGTTGCCCTAGCCCTAGCTTGTCGTCGACGACTAAGAAGTGCTGTGCAGATAGCCAGCTCCGATTCGATGACGATATTCTTCCAAGATAGCAATGCGGTTTGGCCAGAAAGACGGGTGAGCCTCAAAGAGTGGGCTCCTTGCGATGCACAATGCATGGCGTCAACGCCCGCTCACCAGATAGTAGTTGCCAGAAAGCCAAAAATCTAAATCCTGAGCCATACATCCCAAAATCCTAAACCCCGAAATCGCATAGAAACCCGAAAAGGCTTTCTTGAAACCGTATGGGACCCTACAGCGAAGCAGAGCTGCTGCCCTGAAGGGATGGCTCTGCGGAAAGCTCGTGCACCCCGGCAGACAAGCACGGGAGGTGGAAAGGTTTAGAACACGTTCTTGAAAGGGCTCTCTAAGTGTGTAACGTCCACATAGAGAGAATCTGGAGACCAAATTAGTATGTAACTCCACGTACATCGTATTTGCTAAGTCCACGGTTGCTTGGAGTTTTAGAGTATGCTGTAGTATCCTTCTGAGACTGAACTTTGAAGTCAATTACTCACACTGTCCCGTGATCCTGCAAGTGAAGCTGGTAGACTTGGCCGTGACCCCAGAGACACAAAACCCTTTGCATAAGAACAGTGGTTTCATAATCTAAACCCTAAACCTTAAACCCTGAACCCTAAACCCTATAACCTATACCCTAAATCCTAAACCCTAAACCCTAAACCCTCAGATTTGGAGGCCAGTCTTTCCACTGAGTGCAAACCTGCGGGCCTCAAAGAAAGACAGACAACTAGAAACTCCCACAGCGCTGAACTTGGGGGTTTAGGGTTTAGGGTTTAGGGTTTAGGGTTTAGGGTTTAGGGTTTAGGGGTTCTAGGGTTTAGGGTTTAGGGTTTAGGGTTTAAGGCAAATTGGTAGTTCTCTGAATGAGGATCCCTTTTGAGGTCCCCGGTGTTTTTAGTACGGCACCCTTATAACAAGGACCCCAAAAGGGGACCCTAGTTTGGAAAACTACCTTGAAAGGTTTAGGGTTTAGGGTTTAGGGTTTAGGGTTTACTTTACACCGTCTGAGGATCTTTTAGGCATCTTGAGGTGGATTTCTGCGAGGAAAGCAGCCTCAGAAAGCCCCACCAGTGCCATGCAGCCAGATAGAGCCGACAAAATCCCGGACCTCAAACGGAACCCAACTACTCCTGAAGCCCTAACGTTCCCTAACCCTTATCAAAAGTCCTCACGCCTTTCAAAGGACCACGAAAGCCCAAACGCTCTTAAACCCTTGCAAAGGGCCGAACCAAGATAGAACCATAAAGGTTTCTTCTCAGAAGGAGCCCCAGATGAGCTGTATCCTTCGGGGGGTGTTTCAAGGGGATATTTGGCCCTCCCTTGGCAAATACCAGGGAGAATCGGGGATTACCCTAAACCCTAAGCCCTAAACCCTAAACCCTAAACCCTAAACCCTAAACGCTACCAGGGATCCCATAGCGAAAGCCCGGAGAGCCCCTAATCTAAGGGCGGGTTTAGGGTTTAGGGTTTAGGGTTTAGGGTTTAGGGGACCTTTGTAGGTTATTCGAGTTAATCTGGAGACTACCTGGCTATATAAGGGGTATATAAGGACTATACAGTGGTTATTTAAGGTAATGGGATTCAGGGTCCCTATAAGGGGGTCCCTCCTAAAAGTCCTTAGACCTAAGTCCTAAGCCGCTATAGACCCTAAACTGACCCGAAGCCGTAAAGCCTGCCCTCAGCCCTACACCCCTAAACCCTGAACCCTACACCCTTACACCCCTAAACCCTGAACCCCAAAACCCCCCAAACCCCCTAAACCCTGAACCCCTAAACCCCTAAA